TACATTCACGGAATAAGCTTAACGCTTAATGTTTCCCAGAATTCTTCAGAATACATTTGTAGCGTTGTTGTTGCGTCAGCTAATACAAACGGTAAATCTACATATGCGATCAAATAAGATGCTAGAGATAGGCATGTGTCGGCTTTTTTCGGCACGTCACAACGCGATCACGTAATTGGCTGTAAATAATCACGAATCCATATGCACGGCGAATGGATACACACATTTTTCTTTGTAAATCGAATAATTAGGAGAATGTCGATATTTAATTTATTACATGTGTATATAGTAGTCCAATTTAAAGCACCGAGTACATAAGTACATAATATTACTTTTTCGTAAAATATTAATTTATTTTATGCAAATGTGGCTAACATTAATATTGTTATTATTTATTGTTGCTGCATTTGTAAAGTGAAAAACATAGTTCTATATTTCTAAAGTCGTTGAATTCCAATTTGTATATATAGTTATTGGAAATGGATCGAACAACATTAATAACACAAACTTTTTATTTGGAAAATAGTGAAGAAATATTAAAACCCAATAATCAAGCTCCAAGAACTCGAATTTTCCAAAATCCCTTCTTAGTGCGCAGCTAACAAATTCAAACAATGTTTAAAGTTAATCAGATGTAATTTGAAGATTTTTCATACAAACGTTGAAGCATGTTTTCCCTTGTATCCAAATTGAACACTTTCAGTTTTTGTTATGTATCCAAATTAAACACTTTCAGTTTTTGTTTCTTTCTTTATTTTAGCTGTTTCGCAAGACATCACATTCATAACTGTATCTTGCATTTTACTTAAAGTAGCTTTAAGCTAAGGCCGCGTAGCTGCGCTACCAGAAACACCGGCAGCGGAGTGGCCGCATTATATATTAACTTATATACTCAGCGCTGTGGGCAGCGAGAGTGCGAGGGAAAATGCCGTGGGCACTATGGGACATTAACCGCGCCGTCGCCATGCTAAACATGCCGACGCTGCACTTATGCTGCCCAATGTATATTGGCGCGATCATATTACGTCGCGTATGAATTATGCCTAGCTCTTGAGTTTGCATAAACACTGCAACAAAGTGTTACAGTGTGTGCTCTCAAGTGCGCATAGCATACAGTATGCACTCCTTATGTGAGCACACTACACCCTCCTTTGGAGCAATTTTAAAAAATCCCTTCTTAGTGGGCACCTACACTATGAAAGGATACTTAGTCCAAATTTCAGCTTCCTAGCTTTTACCGCTTGGACTGTGCGTTGATCACCAATCAGTAACTATATTTTCGTAAATTTCTGGGGCTAATCATACGATTTTACTGGCTTTTGGTACGGATTGTCCGTTCCGAAGTGCGGCAAATTCGGATCTACTGTTTTTATCTAAATAGGTTTTGACATTTGTGTTTTAACATACTGCGCTGAACAAGAAGAACTGTCAGAAAATCATTACTTGCATAACGTATGTGCTAGGCGTGCTGACATTGCTATCTCTTCATAAAAATCTTTGCGAATCTTGGTCTTCTTTTCGAATGGCGACCTGATGAAACATCTCCTTGATGTTTTCACATATGCCAGTGCTTCCTTCACGAAATTTCATTAAAATTGTTGGTACCGGTACGGATTCGTAAGCGTCTGTTCCTTTCATTAAGTTCTAATTAAGAGACACTCCATTCATCATAGCAGCGGCGTCAAAAATAAGTCGCAGCTTGTTGTTTTTATTTGTGTTCAGACGGCAAATTGTGGAAGGTACTACCTCTATATTAACTTGTTCGGACATTTCGCTTACGAATTTATCGCCAATCAACTTTAGCGTCATTAGGCATTTATTTCCTTTAGCTCCTATCAATTTAGCGACATCGTTCTCAATCAAGGAAATAGTTGAACCTTCACTTTACCTATTAACGAATGCAATAATTTCACATGTTCCTTTTGGACCCTTTTGAAACAAACTTATCTGGAAAATCATTTTCGATGACCGTTGTACTTGTATTAACAACACTGACTTCTGATTTTGGTTCTTGGATTTTCCTTTTACCTTGCATCGCGGCGCTATAATGCAGCAAACGATTATGCGGTTTAGTACAAGAGTCGATATTACAATCTCTTCGGCGTGAACAATTTTGTAGTGAGTGACCTAGACTTTGGCAACAAAAACAGAATCGGTTTTTTTGGGGAAATACATTACATTGCACTATGCATTTCGCGTTAAATAGGAGACACGGCGACGATGCACAAACTTTATATCAACCACTGCCTGCCGCAGGCAATGCACAATACTTTATTCACCAGTCCTTGTATATCCATCACTGTGCGTCAGGCAATGCACTGTGAACGTAGATAAATTTGGTAGACTCCGCACATTCCTGAATCAGTCCAATACTGGGCAGCAGGCAATGCCCAAAAAACTCCAAACAGCGCGGGGACAGGTACGCTTGATCGGCGTCTCAAAAGATGGTGGCTATTAATAATACACAAGTGAAAAAGAACTAAAGTCGAGTGTCCCGGACTTGAAATAAAAATGAAAAAAATTAAGAAAATTAAAAAAAAAAAACTTGATTGATTTTACCTCTTTCGGTATTAGAACTCACGTAATGGGTGTATAATTGCACATTTACATAGCAATTGCGTCTATGTGAGTGTATGCATATCTATGCGTGTTTGTGTGAGCATGTTTGCAGTCAACCAAAGCACCAACATCAACAACAGCTGCAGCCAGCGCTTGGGCAGTAATTATATTTATGGCTATAACTTCCTGCTAAATCAGTCTATCATTATGAAACTTGGCATACGGACACATAAGCACTAACAGGAGTTTGTACTTGAAACAGTGTGTACATGCTCGTACAACCTGTCGAGCTAACAATCTGGCGTATGATTTCATTTTTTCGAACTTCCCCTCCCTGCCAGCTGTCAGTAACAGCTGATTGTCGCCGCTCACATTTTACTGACTAATTCTGTATAAATTCTGTAACGCACTCAACTGTCAGCAACAGCTGATTGCCGACAATTACATATGACTGACTAATTGTGTTTAAATTCTGTAACGTATTATGTTATATAAAAAAATGCTATTTGTATTAATACTACCCCGCGAGCATTTGCGGAAACGCCAATTAATTGTTGAAAAAATACAACAAATGTTTAAGAAACTTATATGTTCCCCCAAAATAATGTTGTTTATTAAAAATTAAATTTCGTCCTGTTGTGACGATCTTGCAAAAATTATCATTTAAAATTGAATTCAGAAATTACAAAAATTTTCATACATTTTGTTTCCCTGGACCGTATTGTGTATTCAAATGGCAGTTTATGACCATTCACATTTTCGCTAAGAAACAGACTTGCCCAATCGGCGACACACAATTTTCGCCAAATTTGTTTAATTAATACACAGTTATGAGGTACTTATTTAAAACAAGCATTGCGTCAATTATATTTTATTTTTATCTTTCAATTGACTCACAACTTTAGACTTAACTCAGCAAAATGTGATGTTCGAAAAATGTAATGTTCTATTTGGGCCAATGGGGCTTCTCTATTGTGCGGTTGTTTTGGATGCTGGTGTTTTAAGTATACATTTAATAATTTGGTAATTTAATAATATTTACGTAGGATATGCAAACTATTTTTGATGCAGATTGTTCAGAACAACTATAAGGCTTATTCCAATGATTTTTTTTTATTTGGAAAAATGTCTGTTGGTATTTTTAATTAAATCTCCCAGCAAAACAAAAAAGATTTGAAATCTCCCATTTCCGTGCAGCGATAATTGGTTTTGAGGCGAAACTTGGGCAGAAGAGATTTCTGTAGCAGCCCTGATACAATGCCAAAATAAAGGTGTATACCAATTTTTAGCTTATTATCTCAAATTCCTAGGTGAAACCCTAATTTGACTGGGTTATTAGTGATTATGTGTCCATATGCCAGGATAGGTAAATTTGAAAGCAAATTTCTGCCATAAATGTAATCTCTGCCCAAGCAGCTCTTGTTGTTGGTACTTCTTTGGCTCAACTTATTTACATAGATCCGTCCGTCGGTCTGGAAAAATGCCTGGATTTGTGACACGGCTTAACCCATTGCGAATAAACTTGTAGACTTAATAATTCATGCTAGTGCACCATAATTCTAACATTCCGAATCTATATAAACCAGGGACCGCAAATAATGATTTTTTTTTTTTTTAAACGAATAAATCATCACTTATAGTAACTTTTGGAAAGCGAGGAATTTACTGACATCCTTTTTAAGGATTATCTATGTATGTATTTTCACCATGATTTATAAATTTTAATTTGTATTCATTCGCTCACAATTTAATGATTAATTTTGAGTTTTACTTTAAAAATTAACCAATAATCATTATTGATGAGCAAAAAAAAAAAATTATAAAATAATGATTATTCTTTGCATTGAATATAATTCTGCCTGTTACATACATTCGCATTTGTGATTTTAAAAATAATTAATTAATAAATTAATTATTTAGTTAATTAAAAATTAATTAATTAAAAATGTTCGCCTTGACTCACTGATAAAGGATATATATAAATTTTGTCCTTAATCCTTATGAAACAAACAAAATTTCAGCTTGAGTTTTATTTTTGATCAAAAAAATAAAACTCAAAGAATAATCATTATTTTATAAGTTTTGTTCATCAATAATGATTATTGGTTAATTTTTAAAGTAAAATTCAAAATTAATCATTAAACTGTGAGCGAATTAATAAAATTGAAAAATAATCATTATTTTGTAATTTTTTTAATAACACTTATACAAGTAATGATTACAGTCCCTGATATAAACCATTTCAATTAAAGCGAATAGTTATTTCCGATACAATATAACAGCAAAACCTCGCACGCCAAGTTTTTACGCGCTTTTCCCTTACGGAAGTTCGATGTATAGTATTTTAAGATCGAGCTAATTCGACTATGCTCCCCTGCTTATTTGTTTTTATCCATATAACCTTTTTTTAATCATATTTTATATTTGTGTCGCCCCAACAGCCAACAGCTAAGAAAGAAGTTATAGATGGAACCATTACCACGAATGACGGTAACCTCATCATTAATAAAACCTTTCTTCCTGACTTGGTAAACGAAGCATCCGCCGTTTCGACTCCAGCCATTTTGCAGGAAACAGTTATCACCAGCAACAACGCCTACAACTCCTCCACATTTGCCTTTGAGCTTCCTATAACAACAATGCAGTTGAATCCAACCTCAATGCAACGGCAAGTGTATCAGTTACAACACCAATCAATACAGTCTAACGATCCCGTTAGTGTACCAATAAATTCCCAAGTACCTGGCAATACATATTCCTTGTTGCCAAAATCTTCACACGTGGGCATGAGCGTTGCACCAGTTTTTAAAGAACCCTCATTTTCTTCCAGCGAGATTTATCAAGAATGTGTACAGAATCCATATAACTTGAAGGTGCCACAATCTGTCCCATCTCAGATGGGATCTCAGCACCAAACTAATCTGGTCACCGTCCCTTGTTCTGACGCTGCAGGGTTAGCAAACACTCCTGTTAATTATTTCAACACTAACGTAGATCCCAGCAGCATACCACCAGGGTCGGAACTGCTTTATGGGCAGCATTAATTCTGCAATTTTAATATGCCTCTTATTGTGAAATTTACCGTTATTTGAATTTTGTAATTGCGTAAAAAATAAAGTAATTTTGGGATCTTATTAGCTCCCTAATTGATAAACAGTTTGATTATCTGTATGGGTAAGTATAATATCCTTTTAAACAGCAATGAAAAATGTCTTGGCTGGATTGAGATTTAAAATACTTGTGCGTAAGAAGCCGATAGGGAGTGCTATAAAAAACACAGTTATTTTGATTTTATTGTACTTAACGGAATTTTAATATACTATAAGTATTAAACAGCAAGTCAGTTGTCTGCATAACAGAAGGGGTAAAAGTTTATCACTTTTTCATACTCTACCAATAGCAGGGATTGAGGCAAAACATGCAGTATCAAACAAGAAAGGAATGCTGGAGTTGAACGGGTTGAACTCTTAAATACCCTGTACCCACTCTCATAAAAACCCACTATTTTATATAGCTAATTTTTTTTTTAAATTAAACTAATTAATTAAAATTAATAACATCAAAAATATAAAACAGGTGAATAGAGTCGCACTGTTTGACTTTAATAGATTTATATCGATACTGTGACTAAGCGTGACTTTATGTTCGTGTAAGTGAGCAGCACAGAGTCGAGCGAAAGCAACAACAACAACCGCGGGCAGAGATTACACTTTACATTTGATCCATCATGCCGCCACTTAACACGAGGACAATTATTTTTTTTATCGATTATACCTCCTTGGGTATTTAAACTCACGTAATGCGTGTATAACTGCACATTTATACATTTGTGTGGTTATGTGTGTTTCTCGTGTGTCTGTACAAAGCAGCACAGCCGCGGGCCTAGAGTACAGAGAGAGGCTATAATTTCCTTTAAAATCAGCGTATCATGACGATACTTGGTATACTGACACAGAATTAATAAGTGTAGGTACTTCCCAAATTTGAGTCAAAAAGAGTGATGGAAATCCTGCGTATTCATATTAGGCATCTTGGAATACAATTTGGTGTCCCTAGGTTTCATAGTCTCCAATATTTGGGTGACTATACGAACGGTGTTACGGAAAATTCCCATATCAGGGGAGTGGGGACGAAAAATCCAAGAAATAAAAAAAGTTGCTCAGCGTACACACATAAGGCATCTTTGTGCAAAATTTGGTGAATGGTAGCTCTTATATTCTCTGAGATCCAGACAGACAGGGCTAGATTGACTCGTAATACTGATCAAGAATATATATATATACTTTGTCGGGTCTGCCACGCCTCCTACTGTCTTGTTAATTACCACAGTTTCGAAGTAGAAACTCTTGCTATGCTAAATGCGGAAAGACACTTTCGACTTTATCTTTTGGGCGTTAAATTTCTGTTGGTCATGGATTGAAGGGCACTGAAGGAAACACAACTAAAGAAAGACTGGTTACCACGCGTAGCCCGCTATGAATTTATGATATCTATTTCGAAATAGTTCACAGGAAAGAAAAAAGTTTTTAAGAGAGAACCTTGATTCCCTTTGATGTTTTACATTTTGACTTCATGGTGCTGTTTGTAGGAAAATATCACCCATATATTTTGACCGTCATAGATGCTCTTACGAAATTTGAAGTTTTCCTGCACACCTCTAAAAGTATCAGAAGCAACCAAAGTCTCACGTAAGCTCATAAGCGACCGAAGAACGAATTTTTCAATAAAAAATTCCAAGATCCGTGCAATTCCTTTGGGTAAGAGCATCAACTAATTTCGTCGGGTGCTAGAGCAGTGGAAACGGCCAGGTGGAACTGTATGTTGACACCGTGGCTTAATATACCGGGTATTTATTAACTAACTAACTACGTCAGTCAAGTACAGTTGGCTCTCAATACTAAAATAAAGAGGATGGCTGGGGCTTTCCCTTAAAAATACTGACAGGAATTATTGGGCGTACTCTAGACATTGGTGCACACCTAGCTGCACTGCAGATCGAACCTCAGTATAGCGACATAGAAGCTATACACGTGCTTGTTAAAGATTCCCTTTTTATACCCTGTACCCAAAGGGTGAGAGGGTATACTAGTTTTGTGCGAATGTATTGTAGTATAGCCACGGTTCATCAATACCTAGTGCCCACTGTCACAAGCAACGAACGCGAAAGAAAGGTTTAAGATTACAGCCCGCTGACTTACTGACAAGGCAAGTGTCAACGCTCTAAGTGCGCCACTTGACTTGCAGCGTCAGCACTGGCTCTGACCCAATGACCAATCAAAGTAGCGAACGAAGCAGACTTATTGACGATCGATGAATAGGGAAAAGAATAGGAACAACCAAAGTTCGTATGCCACTCCACTTCACTTACACTTACACAGTTGATCTACTTACACACATTAGACATTAAGCAAATATTGTTAATACATAAGACATTATATACATAATTAGTACATAAGCCACATTTTGTATAAAAAGAGCTAAGTAAACATACAAGACACAGTGCATTCTTGAAGCTAAACGAACCAGCTTCCCTCTTTTATTACAGTATGTAACACATAGAAGGAGGCGTGACTGACCCCACATAGTATATATATATTATTGATCAGGGTGACAAGTCGAGTCGATATAGCCATGTCCGTCTGTATGAACGCAAGGATCTCAGAAAGTATAAGAGCTAGAATAACCAAACTTGGTATCCAGATTCTCCAAGTCGGGACCCCCGACTTTAGCTTTTTACTTGTTTGATACTCTGTACATGAAATGTACAAGAGTTTATAAGGTTTGCGAGAGCTGAAAAATGTAACAGGCAGAAGGAGGCGTGGTAGACCCCACAAAGTATATATATTCTTGATCAGCGTGCAAGACGAGTCTATCTAGCCCTGTCTGTCCGTCTGTCAGTCCGATAAGATCTCAGAGACTTTAAGAGATAGAGACACCAAATTTTGCACAAAGATGGTTTATGTGTGTACGCTATACGAGTTTGTTTTATTTTTTTGATTTCCCGATTTTCCATTCGTTTAATGACTTCGGAGATTATAAGACATATGGATACCAAATTTTAGTCCACGATGTGAATATCCCCAAATCGTAACTCCCGTAATTCTTGGAATTTCGAACTCAAATTTTGCAAATACCCCCAGTTAGAGCTTATGTGTCCGTATTATGATAGACCAATTTAACAAGAAGTTATAGCTATAACAACATCAATAGCCTGAGCAGGATTTCAGTTTTTGTGGTCGCCTGGGAGAAATTTGGTGGTATCAAGCGTGCGAAAAGGAGTTTGTTTTTGGTTTGGTATATTCACCGCAGCGACGGCGAGCCATGGTGCCGCGTCAGGCGGAGGATCCCCATCTCACCCTTACATGTCCAGTGTTGAGCCTGTAAGTGTGAAAGATTGTGTAATAGTCAGTCAGTGTATTAATTACCTTTTATTTATTTATTTGTATAGCCGCAAATAAGTTATCAATATACAGGAGGTCTATTGTGAATGGTCCCGGCCTAGCACAGCTGTTCCTGAGCGAGCCATCGATATTGATAAGTATCGATAGGGTGTTTTTGGCTTATTTATTTATTTATTTTTGATTATCTCCTTTTTTTGCATGTGGGCACGGATTTTCCCATTTGTTCTATTTATTTATCCCCATAGCTTTGCATGTGGCACGTATATATTTATTCTGGAGATTTATGCCCACATTTTGGTGTGTGGCTTATTTATTTATTGTTCTTATATATATTATATATATAGATATATATATATATATATATATATATATATATATAGATATATAGATATATATATATATATATATATATATATATATATCTATAATCTATATATATATATATATATATATATATATCTATATATATATATATATATATATATATATATATATATATATATATATATATATATATATTGTATATGGTTGTGTATAGCTAAAAATATTATAGTCGGGACCGTTTCCGGATAGGGATTGGTTCAAAATGAATCTGGATCCGAGCGTGACTCGAAGAGTTGGGCGTAGCCAGGAGTTTGCCAGGCATAGGCAATTGGTACATTTGGACATTTGGGGAGAGGCCGGCAGATTCACCATGCGAAGAAACATCGCCGCCGAATATGGGCTATATAGCCTTTAAGGGGTCCCCAACAAACTACCAGCCAGGTCCGGGGCGGCGGTACTCGCACAGGCACGGGAGCCTGACGGCGATGAACATCTGCCGGGCGGTAGAGCCGAGTCCACACTGCCTAGTGAAATTCGTTCGGCCATCAACGTGGCGTTAGCGCAGGCCCATGAAACATGAAGCAGTGGCAGCGCTTAAGCAAGAGAAGACACAGCGCGCTTGCGTCTGTACCCTATGCGCCGGTGGACATGCCAGGGTGAGCTCCCACACAAATGCAGCAGTCAGCCAGAAGCTGGTACGAGCCGGCGGAAAAGGAAATGGATTGAGTAGGCCGGGACAACCGGGCATTAGAGGCAGAACAGCGGGCACATGTGGAGCAGCGGCAAGCTTCACCTGATCCGTGGATGCGTGATCTGGCCCCTGAGGTGCACAGGCCGTAGAGGCGAACCACGGTGGGCGATTCCAGGCCTGACGTCGTCCACATCAGGAAGTGCGGCCTGGTGTTTAATGGCGAGGCCAAAAGTATGCCGGTGGCACAGTTCATTTTCCGCTTGGAACATTTGCAATCATTGTACCAGATGCCATGGGCGGACGTATTGCGCGATTTTCATTGTTTGGTGAGTGGAAGGGCGAAAGACTGGTACTGGATGCACATACGCACCTCTGGAGTGCCCGATTGGCCGAATCTCCGCTATGGGCTGCAGCAGCAATTCCAGAGCAGGAGCTGAGGGAGCGGAAGCAGCGACACGGCGAGAGCACGGAGGAGTAAATCCAGGCGATGCTGGTGCTGTGGTGGCGGTTGGTGTGTCCATTCTCGAATTATGATCTGATTAAGGTGATCAAGAAAAACATTAAGGACACCGTGTCGAGGGTCATATATCCGATGCATATCACCAACCTGCAGAAGCTGCGAGGGGAGTGCCAAGACGCCGAAAAGATGCTGGTAACGCGTAGGGCACGGCCCTCAGCCAATACCAACTACGGACCGCAGCGAGAGCAGCATCGGGTGCACGAGCTGGAAGTGGTCGC